GTTTTGAGATGTTTTCTTTTTAATGTTTTGCTGTGTGCATGTGGGGGCGGGGCGGGGGGGAGGGGAGGGAGGGACTCCCAGCCCAGCCCAACTCCTGGAGAGGGGCCCATAGCACACGAGTTACACCTACATACTATATATAAGCTCTACATAAAGGGAGAGGTCAAGAGAAGGGACTCGGAAAGGCAAGTGACTAGAGATGGACGCAGGTGTTCGTTCACTTTTCCATTCAACTTTCCACAAGGGCTTATTACGCACCTGCTGTGTGGCAGGTGCTGACACACAGGAAGGCACTGGGGAAGGGGCATAAAGGCAGGCGCAGAGAGTTATTCATTCATTACTGGCAATGTGTGTGCTTAACTGCCAGGCATTGTGCTGAATGCTGAGCATACAGAGGGAGGAAAACAGTCAGGGTCCGGGACATCTTCAGAGTTGCATCTTGCACATGAGACAGACATTAATCCGAGAATTATGTACACATACAAGAGATTACAGTTAGGATGTAGGAGAAACCCGAGATCCTCCAAAATGCTCTGTGAGGGAGGGGGCTAACCCAGTTTAAGTTTTAGTAGACACTGAAAGGATGACAAGGAGACAGCTGGAGCTGGGGCCATGTGTCCCAGGAAGAGAACAGCATATGCCAAGGCCCTAGGGCAGAAAGGAGCTTGCACAGTATGCTGAAGTGTAGTGAGCCGGGTGGAGAGAGGAGCCTGGAGACAGGACCAGATTGTGCAGGAACTTGTAGGTTGGGTTTTATTCATAGGGGGCTGTGGATGGCTTTAAGCAGGAGCACAGCATGAATGGTGCATAAAGGAAAGGCAGGAGCCTAGCTGAGTACGGAGCAGAGGCAACTAAAATACGGCATCACACAGTCACTGGTCTTCCAAGCCGGTGCTGGTGGCAGAGAGGACGCAGTCACACATGCTGCAGCACAGGCATGGTGTCGTGTGCAGGAGAATCAGACAGCAATCCAGGTTTCACTATTTTCTCCAGCCGCTGGCATTCGGGTGCATGTGCTCTGGTCCCAGGCAGGAAGTTAGGGACCCCAGAGGTGCAACAAACCCCTCACTCTTCCCCAGGAGCTGAGCACTGTCAGGAAGCACAGCCCAGGCAGGGAAGCGAGCGTGGTGACTGGGACCACGATGGGCCCCATGGAACACGGAGGACAGGGTGGCCAGGTGTGGGCAGGGAAGACTCCCTGGAATGTGATGCCCAGTCTCGGTCTTCAAAGAAGCACGTGTCTCCTAGGTGATGAAGGGGACAAGGAAGTCTTTCTGGGCAAGAACAGCTGGGGCAGAAGCCCAGGGAAGAGGAGCAGCGTGATGTTTTGGGAAAAGTGCTGACGCCTCTGGGATGCTGAAATCCAGGGTCGAGGAATAGGTCAGGCGGGGAAGTACCATAAGCCAGGGTCTAACAGTGCCTGAGTCACAGACCAGCCGGAGGCTTCCTAAGGGCAGTGGAGAGGATGACAGTTGAGGGGGGTAAAGGAAGTGGGTGTGCTGAGGAAGGGATGGAGTTGAAGGTCACCGAGAGGGCAGGGTGCTTCATTTCCCTTCATTTGCTCAGCAAGTATTTCCTGTGATGCTGGGTGTAGGGAACTTCCCATCCCGTCCTGTGCTCCAGGGGCTCCCAGTCTGGTGGGGAGAGAGACAGGGCTCAGCTGCACAAGGCAGGACCTGGTTAGTGAGGTACCATGAGGTCAGGGTGACCTTGGGAATAGGAGACATCAGAAGTGGGACCGAGGAGGGAGGGGATCAGAGTGGGCATTAGAAATTTGCTTGGGGGCCTGTGTGGAAGAGTTAGAAATGGGGGCAGGGGAGGCTGGAGTGGGCGAGCCTGGGAGGAATTCTGTGATGGTGGTTTCAGGAAGGAGATGCTGGAAAATGTAGAGAGGATAGAGTCAGTGAGACTAGATAAGACTTAATCTGATGCATGGAGAGAAGAGGGGCGGGGAGGTGAGGAGAGGGCCAGGCAGAGGTGCATTCGAGGGGACGACTGAGGGGGAGGACAGAACTGGCTAGGGGATGATGGATTCTGCAATCCAAAGGCCAAACAGCAAGAAAGGTGGAGGGTGGGCCGAAGGAAGAGTGAGATGGGGGGGTGCAGAAGAGACCCAAAACAGGTGAGTCCTAGAGATGGGAAAGGCGAAGACTTAGGAGATTCCGAGAGGGAGAAACTGAAAACAAGATGCGCAAGCCTTCACAGTATTGGAGAATTGCCGAGCGCTGACCTGTTCAAGGCCCAGTCTAGGCCCACAGGGTATGGTGATGAGCTGACAAGGGCCTGCTCTCGGGCTCCCAGGAGGCACGTGCAATACACACTGAAGAGTGCTTGAGAAGTGAAACAGGATGACAGATCAGGGCGACTAGATAAGCTGTGTCAAGAGGTCCTGACTGCCAAGTAGTGTTTGAACAGAAATGTGCATTCTGAGAGGGCAGGGGAGGAGAGAAGGGCTCGGGACAGGAACCCTGGCCACCAAAGGTGGCAGAAGAAGCCTGAGTAAAACCAGACTTCCAAGGAGGCCTTTGTGAGCAGAATAAACAAGGGCTAGTTGACTGGGTTAAGAAGTCCCAAGTGCAGAGGGCAGCTCAGGCCTTGTAGCCTGGGAAGGAATTTGAACTTTATTCTGGGTTTGATGAGAAGCCTTGGGGAGCTCTGAGCACAGGCATGCTGGGATCATATTTTTGTCTAAACAAAACAATAGCAGAACTGTGGTGTTGTGCTGGGAATAGACTTGGGGGGTCAAAAGCAGAAGCAGGGATTGGGATTTTGGAGGTGATGCCTACCGTGGTGGCAAGCCAGCTGTACAGGGAGGTAATGAAGCCCAGGGAAGGGGAGAGAGGATTCTCCGGGTGGGTGCTGCGGCCAGGAAGGGGGAGGCAGGGTTTGGTGGTAGGAATCCAGGGTTGTCGTAGGGATGTGTCAGGTGGGGATGCCTTTGGGAAGTCCGAGTATGGAGCAACCAGTTGGAGACATCAGATAGGAGTGGTTAAAAGATCGTGGCTGGAAATACAAGTCTTGGAAACGTCAGCAGATGGAGGCATGGAAAGCCACAGAATGGGATGGTAACTTAGCAGCTGCGTGCAGGTAGAGTGACCCTGGCAAGAGTCTTAGGGGGACATCTACACTGGGGGAGAAGAGCAGGTAGCAAAGGGAGCCAAGAAGGAGTGACCGGAGGCTGGCAGGAAGCCGGAGAGTCCTTGAGGGCCTAAGCACAAGCATTTCAAGAGGAGGAGGAGGGGGCTGGGGTTTGGCTCCGTGGTGGAGCGCTTGCCTGGTATATGGAAGGCTCTGGGTTTGGTTCTCAGCACTGCAAATAAATACATAAAATAAAGGTCCATCTACAATTAAAAAACATACATATGTATATGGAGGAGGAGGGGCCAGCTGTGCGGAAGCTGCTGCGGAATCGGAGAAGATCTGGGAGCAAGTGACCAGTAGGTTTGCAGAGTGATCCTGGCTGATGATCTGGACAGAGCTCACTTCAGCTCAGAGGCAGGGACAGAAGCCCTTACCGGGGAAGAGGGAAAGGGAATAGAGGCAATTAAAATGACCCAGACAAGGAGAGGAAGACGGGAAAAGGCACCCTGAAATCAGGGAGCTATTACAGCGGGCAGGAGTGAGAACAATGGGGTGACCCCGGCCAGCGGGAGAGTTCAGGGGTGGTGAACAGAGTCCGAGGACCCCAGCCAGGCCTCTTCTGTCCTTTGCTGCTGCTCATGCAGGCTCTGGGACTCTCTGGAGCCTGGGAAGACCCAGCAAGGCAAAGGGAAAGAAGAGGTTTCCTTTATTTTCTGAAACGAAAGTCCGTTCAGACTCCCAGTTGCCAGAACCTGTGATCAAAGAGCTGTGTGTGCCCCTGAGGGAGAAAGGCAGCAGAATACAGAGGTGGTGTGCTCTGCTGGGGGAAGCAGGTACCTTCCCAGCTCCGTGGGGGTGTCCACGAGGCCGGTGCTTCCTCATCACAGTTCCCTGGCCAGTCCTGTGCTCACTTGTTCATTCACATCACCTACCACACCTTATAAGGCTGCCTGTGTACCTGGCCATGAGCTGGGTGGTGCAGAGGTTGCCCCTGACCCCTGACCCAATCTAGTGGGAGAGCCAGACACCTTAGCAGACAGTCGCACCCCAGGGCATTGGGGGCTCCAAGGGAAGAGCACAGAGCAGGGGCAGGCAGGGAGGGGTGCCCCAGAGCCCTGGTCAGCTGGCATTGGGCCTACCTGGAGCAGCATCCTGCGTGGAGGTGGATGGCAGGTGGGTCCCACCTGGGCAGTCTGTAGAAGGGAGGGGGTGAGGGGTGATGACCAGGCCCTGCTGCCATGCCACACGGCTGTCCCTGCCCCTGCTCCTGGGGGAGCTGAAACTGCATGGAAGGTCCCCCAGGGGTGCCCTGAAAATAAATTCATGAAGAGGACGGCTGCCGTGGTTCACGTGTCCCCAAGCCTGGCCCTTCCCTCACCCTTTTATCTTCTGGGATCTGAGGGCCAAACCCCCAGAATCCATCCATCCTTTTAAGACCCTGGGTTCTGGCCCATCTCCCCCAGGCACAGGGTCCAGGCCCCAGTCCCCCTCCCCCAGGCCCAGCCCCCTCCCTCAGACCCAGGGTCCAGGCCCAGTGCCTACCCCTCAGCCCCTTCTGTCCTAGTGACACGGCACTCCAGCTTCCCAGCCCTGCCTGCTCTGGACAGAAACCCGTGGTTCCACTGTCCCGTCCTGTCCCTCCATGTGGGCGTCTGTAGTTGGGACTTTCAGCCCCGCCCTTGACCCTTCAGGAAATCCAACTCTGGGCTTCAGCGGCTTTAAGACCAGTCCCAGCCCCTCCTCTCCCCCACCCCGCCCGGGTTGTCCCCTTAAAATACCCGGGATCCCTATGGCAACAGGCGCCGGCGACAGGTGCGGGTGTTATTTACGGGTCGAGCCCGAAATAGCCGGGAGGGCGAGGGGATGGGCGGGCGGGGCGAGGCCGGCGGACGGACGAGCGGGCGGAGGCCGAGCAGAGCCCACGGGTCGAGGCATTGCGGAGCTGGGGTCGGCGCGGCGCCGAGGCAGGAGAGCGAGCGGGGCCCCTGCCCCGGAGGCCGGGGAGGGAGGCCCGAGGGGGTCGCGAGGCCTGGAGCTGAGCCAAGAGCCCTCGCAGCCGGGCAGGCCCTGGGAGCCCGGGGGAGGGGGGGGGCAGAGTGATCCCCAAGGAACGAGTCCCTTCCGGGTCCCAAGAGTCCTGTCAAGTCCAGGATCCCTTCCCCTGCTTTCTGAGCCTCAGTGAGGACCACGGCTCCTCAAGCTGAACCCAGCGGGGATTCGCGGTTCCCTTCTGAGCAGCGTACCCCAGACTCCTTTATGGACGCCCAGCCACGTCCCTTTTGGACCTCAGCAGGGAGTTTCCGGCTTCTGAGATCTCTTTTGAGCAACTAGGGAGACTCCCTTTCCCTTTTGCTGAATTCCAGAATTCCTCTGAACCCCGCTGATCTGCGGTGAATGCTGCGGCTCCCTGGCTTCTCTGAGACCCAGACCTAGCTCTTACCCTCTGTTCCCCAGAGGGGCCCCAAGCCCTCCCTCCTCAAACTCTGAGCCCAGAGGATCCGGGCCACATCTCTCAAACACACAGCAGGGCTCAGCTCCCTTTTCTGGGCACCCCAGACTCGGAGCCCTAGTGGAGACCCCAGAGGAGTGCCTCTGAGCTCGGGTGGGTGCTCGGGTCTCCTGCCACTGCACCCCCAGGCGCCCCCTGGTGAGGTGAGCCTCAGGGCACCTGCCTTCTCCCGGCTTGGTTCTCTTTGCTGAGTTGCGTGAGCAGCCCCTGCTCCTCCTGGAGGCTTCCCCTGCCTGGGGTCCAGGTTTCTCGACTTCCGAGCCCCGGAGGACACCTGACTCCACCATTTGAGGTTCAGCTCTTCCTCTCTCATCATCCAGCACCCACTGAGCCCCGGCTCCCTTCAAGGTCCCAGGCTGTGCCAGGCCCCTCCTCCCGCCCCTCAGGACCCCTCCTCAGCTCTGCCTGCTTGGACCTCCCTGAGGCCCGTCTGCAGCCAGGATGATGATGTGGTCCAACTTCTTCATGCAAGAGGAGGACCGGCGGCGGGCCGCTGCAGGCCGGCGGCGTGCCCAGGGGCAGAAGGGAGTCCTCCTGACACCAGAGCAAGAGGGGAAGATTAAGCTGGTGCTGCTGCTGGTCTCCATAGGTGCCACACTGGCCGTGCTGGCCGTGGGCACAGAGTTCTGGGTGGAGCTCAACACCTACAAGGCCAACAGCAGTGCCGTCTGTGACGCCGCCCACCTGGGACTGTGGAAGGTGTGCACCAAGCGACTGTGGCTGGCGGACGTGCCCGAGGGCCGTGAGACCTGTGGCCCTGCCGAGCTGCCTGGAGGTGAGAGGCCATGCCCTGACCCCGGTAGAGAGACTGAGAAAGCCACGCCCCAGAAAGAACCCGGGCCCCCAGGAGAGAGCTTGCACCCCAGAAAGACCTGTGCACAGATCTGCCTAGGCTCTCGGAGACAGACAGGGCACTCAGACCTGGCCCATGTTCCTAACTGGCTTGTCCCCAGGGGACCTGTGCTTCAGAGCTTGTCTTCCGGCCTGTACCCCATCACCAGCCTGTGCCCCCGCACCCAGCTGGTGCCTTCAGAGAGCCTGAGCACACCTGACAGCACATCCCCACTCACACCCCCGAGATGCCTGCACCCCGGTGCATGTGCCCACAGAGAGCCTGCGTCCCAGACAGTCTTCCCCCTGGAGACAGACGGACTCCCTGGCTGTGAGCTCTGGGCAGACAGACCGCCCTGCTGCCCACCCCAGTGTAGAATCTGTGCAGGTTCGCTCCCTGTGAATTTGCCAAATGAAGCTCTTGCCAGTCACCTGCCAACGCCCCGGGGCGGGCCTTGTGCTCTGGCACCATTCATTCCTGCCCCTCTCTCCTCCGGAGGCCTGACTGCAGCTCCGGCCCTTCTCACTTTTCTCTGCAGACTCTCCACGCCCCTCGCCTCCCCTACAGTAGTTCTGCAGCTGTGCCAGAGGGCTGTCCCTTAGCTCTCACTGACGGCACATGCCATGCCCTTTACCTGTCCCCGCAGGCCTTCTTCATGAGAACTGGGCAGGAGCGCACTTCTCTACCCACCCAAAGAAAACATCTTAGGCATCTCCCCTCTGGCCATTCATGATGCCACCTGTGACTTTGCCCGTGTGGGGTATCCAGCAATGCCATCCACACAATGCCCCACCATCGCAGCATCCCTCAGAAAGGGTCCTGCCCTTCTGGGCTCCAGATGGGGTTTCTGTCCTCTGTTACTTCTCCAGGTGGATTTATCCATAGGGTCCAAATAAGGGTGTCCTAAGCCTTTCCTAGCAAGTGGGCACCAGGCATCCTCTGCTGTCCAGGAGACTATCTTAGCCACTTCACTCCTGTAGATGAGCTGTCAGCCCTCAGGGTCTTGAGCAGGATGATCGCAAGCTTCCGCCAAGCGGGATTCCCCAGTAATAAAAATGTGAGACGAGTACGTAGTTCCTGGCTCTGTTCTAAGGAGTCGATGTGCATGGATTCGTCCCCTGTCCTGCCAGTCCCGTGAGTAGTGATCATCAGGTCCGTTCCACCGAGGGCGACGCGGAGGCGCGAGGGACCTCGGTGGCTCGAGGGACCTCGGTGGCCCAGCCTGTGAACCAGGCGAGTTATGTGGGGTTTGAATCTTGGCTGTCCCTGCTCCTGAGAGCAGTGCCGCTGTGTCCCACCTCACTCCTCCATAAGGAGCCTCCATGGCTCCTCACGACGCCACCGGGGTGTCCTGACCTCACTAAAAAGAAGATGGGGCTCCTCACGTCTTTGCTGTCCCCTCTGGTGGCCAGGAGGGACTTGCCCTCCTTATAGGGCTCTGACTGTCACCCGTGCAGGACCTCTCAGAGTCTCCTGATGTCTGAGAAACGGAATGACTCATGTCCCTTGGCGGTGACAGCTGCCTCACACCCGTGGCTTTTCAGATGGGATTTGCCATATCCTCTGGGGGTCAAGAAGCCAGAAGTCCTGAGTCATTCGTAGCCAGAGTGGGATACCCCACAGCCCACCTGCCCCAACAGGACCTTCACCCTTCCCTAGGGATGTAGGCTTCTCCACCCGCTGCACCCCACCCTGTGGCAGGAAGCACGGTAGTACCCCTTGCCGCTGCAGGAGCAGGATTCGCACCTGTCACTGCTCCTTGCTGGACACTGCATGTCCCTCCCCTCCCCCGGTGCTCCAGGGGGCGCCCACTCTAGCTCACTGGACTCAGGGGTGTCTCTCTGTCCCTCCATGTCCTCTTCAGAAGGAAAGTCCCGTTTCCACTTCTGCAGGCCGCGTGGTCCCCCTCGGGGGTCCTTTACTCCTGTGGGTCTCACGCCTCCCCCTCCCTAGCCTCAGTTTCCCCACCTGTAGGACAAGAGCGTTCTGACTGGGAGAGCCCTGAGGGGAGATCTGCCTCTAAAATGCAGCTCAGAAAGTTCTTTTCCTTTGTTAAAGTTTCTCGGACACAAAATACACAACATCAAACGAATCCCACTCCCAGGTTCGGGTCCTCAGATGGTGACCAGCCCGGAAGATCCTTCCTGTGCTGTGTTGAATAACCTGGTTCTTTCCCATTCCTTCCTGACTCAGCTCTTTCAGGTGTTTGACAACGCATTCCACCTGGGGAGCAGAGTCAGTTTCTGCCCACCTGTGTGTGCTGATTTGCATAAATGAGGTCATGCTGTAGATTTCATCCTGCTCTTTAATCGGCCTAATTCGACTTTTCTTGCTCAACACCCGTCTCTCAAGTCTTCCCGCCTTTGTTGTCGTAGTTCTCGGCTACTGCGTTCTGCAGAGCTTTCCACAGGGAGCGTCCCCTCGTATATATGCCTGTCCTTGAGAGAGGGACACCTGGGTCATTCCTGCTCTGTGTTAATTATAATCGAGGCTGCAGTGAACACCCACACCTGTGTCCCCCCTGTATGTGCTTTGTTCCTGGGTGCAGACCCAGAACTGAAACAGCCAGGTCCCGGGGTATCAACATGGCTCATGCGTCACACCGCGATGGGGACGTGTTCTGAGCAATGCATCCTTAGTGGATTTCGTTGTTGTGAGATCATTGCAGAGTGTGCTCACTCAGGCTTGGAGGACTACGACCTTGCTGGGTGAGGTCATCCTAAGGACCTCCGTCCTACAGGGGCCCATGCTCCACTGATGGCCATCATGGAGCGCAGGACTGTGACACGCTCCATAAAGCATGTCCGGTCCTTCCCCCAAAGCTCAGGACAGCCTCACTGCCAGTTGTTTCCGCCTGCTGCTGCCCTTTTAATATTCGCCCGTCTAATTGATCCAAAGGGGCCCCTCCCTGCTGGCTCAAGTGCATTTCTCTGGCTCCTGCTGGAGTGGAGCCTCTTCCTGTGCCGCAGGTTCTCCAGGCTCCTCTGCTGCTAGCGGCCAGGCGGGGTTTGTGCCCTGTGCAGGGGGCGCCTCGGACAGCAGCCTGCGGGGGCTCTTTGGATTCAGGTGGGAGGGAGCACCCCCTCTTCTGTTAGCCTCCCATGTCCTGCTTCTTGGTGGCCTTTGTTGAGTAAAGTGGCTGTCCCTCTCTAATCGCACTTGACCCTCAACAAACCTGCAGGAAGGAGCCAGGAAAGAGATTATCACCTCCTGTTAAAGAGGAAGCACCGGACGCCCAGAGACAGTTAATGGCCCACTTGAGGCCCTGGATCTAGTCCTCTGCAGGGGCGGGAATCCCCGGGCGTCCTGGGCTGCCAAGAGGCGTTTCCCGCTCCTCTGCACCAGGGATGCTAAGGTCCTCTTTTAAGGCCCCTCTGAGCTCTGTTAAGGGTCCACCCTGGAAATGGACACAGCGCCTCACGTCACCTCCCTCCCCCTTCTCTCCCCTGCTCTCACAGAAGCCAACTGCACCTACTTTAAATTCTTCACCACGGGGGAGAACGCCCGCGTCTTCCAGAGAACCACAAAGAAAGGTGAGCAGGTTTCACGCTGGGACCAGGGGCTGGGTGCTGGCCACGCTCAGGGACGTCTGGTGGCACCGCTCCTCCGCCACTCTGCTCGGGATGATGGGCTCAGCTCTGGGGTCCGTGGGAACTGGTGGTGCAGATTCTCCAGACCCTGGGCCTGATGCTGTGACCCCTCACTTTGCCCAAGCCACAGGCCACGGGACTGGGCAGTCCCTCTCTGAGGACAGCACTCTAGCTTCTCATGAATGGGCGCTTGGGGTCCGTAAGCCCCACCCCGGGCATTCTGTCTGGATGATCTCCAGTCTTTGGCCTGACTGCAGGACACAAGCGTTGTCTTCCTCCTCCAGAGGAGATACAAGCCCAGAGAAGGTAGAAGCCATCTCGCCCAGGAAGTGGCAGAGGCAGGATTCGAACCCAAACACATCTTACCGTAGAAGGGCACTGCCCAGAACCCCCTGTGGAGAAGAAAATGCTCTACTTTGGGACCCGTCCTGCACACTTGGCATGTGGCTGCTGTCACAGGGGAGCTGAGTGTTGAATTTTGTTTCATTTGTCACGTTCAATGTAAAAGCCCGCGTGTGGTTAGCAGCTGCCACCGCACTGGACCATGCACCTCTGAGGACTTTGTCCTTTCTGCTCTGAGCACAGCTTCTCCATCACGGGGTGTCCCCACCAGCACAGGGATTGGGATCGTGACATGAATCCGGCTTCTATAAGGATTTCATGAGACAAGGCTTCTAGAGGCTTCCAGAGCCCAGGGCTTGCAGTGACCCCTCACTACCTGCAAGCAGTGGTTCCTGGCCTGCTCCACCTGTTCTGTCTCACCTCCGTGCTGGCGGTGGCATCATCCTGGTGCTCACCTGTGGCCCACCTGTGTGTGCCAAGCACACGGTCCACCCAAGGAGGACCATTCCCCTGTAGTGCAGAAATGATGACCAGATGATAGTAATGATCAGTTGCTCACATCTCCTTCTAAAACCCAGGCTTTGTGCCTTCTGCTCTGTGGCCTTAAGCAAGTCACTGACCCTCTCCGAGTCTTAGTTTCTCCAACAGGATTGTTATTGGACGGGACTGGGCCACCGACTTGACCACTTTTCTACAGTCCTGAATCACCCATCTTCCTGATCCTGGGCCCCTGTAAAGGAAACCTCTTGTTCTCTCTCTGTGATCTCTGCCTCTCCCCTCTCCCCTTGCAGAGGTGAACATAGCCGCTGCGGTGATAGCCGTGCTGGGCCTGGTGGTCATGGCCTTGGGCTGTCTCTGTGTCATCATGGTGCTCAGTAAAGGAGCCGAGTTCCTGCTCCGAGTTGGAGCCGTGTGCTTTGTCCTCTCAGGTGAGGGCGGAGAGCCTGGGCTGAGGGCACTGCATGCCGGGAGGCGGGATCTGTACACACAATTGCATGCTGGGAGGCGAGATCTGTACATGAGATCTGCACAGCATGCCGGGAGGTGGGATCTCCATGCACTGCTGCATGCTGGGATTTGAGGGGAGCCCAAGGGCTATCATAGGTTCAAAGATGGAGGAATTCCAAGCCCTTTTGTTGGCTGAGGACTGGACAGTCTACAAATACCATTTTGATCTGGACCCGAGGTCTCCAAGGATTGTTGTGGGAACCCCAAGCACTGCCGCATGCCAGGAGCAGGAGGGAGCCCCAGGGCCCTAGAAGTCTCAGCCACAGGACAGCTCTAAGCCTGTTGCTAGCTTGGACTACTCCCCAAGTACCTTTTTAGGTTTGGACCTGGAATCCCCAGCACTGTTGTGTCCTGGGGTGGGGAGGTCTGCAGGCACTGCTGCGTGCTCTGATGTCGGGAAACCCAAGGGCTGTATCAGGCTCAACGGTGGCACAGTTCAAGCCTGGTGGTTGGCTGGGATTTAGAGGGTCTCCACACAGGCTTGGAGATTTGGGCCTGGGGCCTGGGGTCTGCAAGGACTCTTGCATTTTTGGAGTTGAAGGTCCAGAAAAAAATACTGCATCATAGGAAATGTGGCCCTTGACAGTAACAAAGACTTCAGTTTATTATACATCTAGCTCAGATTACCACAGGCCTGCTGCTGTGTTTAACTGCACAACCATCACCTCTGCATTAACCTACGTTCACGAGCATCCTGTGATTCCCAAACTTACACAAAGACAGCTAGCTTAGAATAAAGTTACTTTTAAGTCATGCCAGCACTGTTTTTACAAAAAGAAAAGCTTCACATGATGGTTGCACCAGACTTTTTTGCAAAACAATAAATAATAATAATAATAATAATAATTGGCATAAAATCCATGACGATAATGTGGAGAAATTCAGTAGGTAGAGATCACTGTTCTTCATTCTGTAGTTGAGACACTGAAGCTCAGAAGAGGCAGATGAGTTATTCGACTCACACAGTGAGGACAGAGGTGGGCTTGAGCCTGGGCCGCCTTCTCCAAGCTCGCCTCTCTGCTGCACACACCTGGCACCTCGGGGAGTACTCTCCTGAGGTGTCTCTGTGGGCTCAGCACGGTATGGTGAGACGGAGGCATAGCCGGGGAGTCAGTCTGGATCCTGAATCAGTATACGACCCTGGGAAAGTTCCATTCATCTTCTGGGCCTTAGTTGCCTTGTTGAATCAAACTTTTCTCAGGTGGAAAGAAAAATCATTGATTACACTTCCTTTCTTTAAGTGTTGATGAGCATCTACTATGATCCAGGCATGATAGGGGCTAGAGATAAATACAAGACGACTCTGCTCTCAAAGGGCCTCAATTTGGGCAGAAAAAGAGTATAACTAATAATTACATAAGTCATGATTCAACTGAATTGGCGATGAGAGTTACCATAAAGCATATTAAGGGGACGTTCTGTGGTGGTGGTATGTGGCAGAATAGCTGATCTAGAAAGCAACAGTTGAGCTGATAATTGAAGGATAATAGGAATTATCCAAGGTACAGTGGTGACAGTTGTAATGGCAACAGGTGATGGTGAT